CGCCGTGCCATTCTCGGTCGTCCGGATGTGGCGAACCCCAACACTCAACCCCATCATGACCGAGGCTATCAAAGGGTTGAACTACGACTACGCTTGTAAAATCTCGGTGAGTCAGACTGTCATCGTCACAGCTGACCCACAGCTACTTTACAAAACTCGATTCTGGGAGCATATCGACAATCCTATCTACGGAGGCTGCGGCGCAACGGACCTTCCGGGGGTCGGCTCATTCTGTTATCCAGCTTACAATATCAATGGGACAGGCCCCGGAGCTTTGCTCGCTTCTTACTCCACCCCGGATGGTCTCTCCGCGCAAGCAATGCCCGAAGAAGACCATGTCCAGATGATAGTCGAGGCGATGAACGAGATTCACGGTCCGATCGCTGCCGAACAGTACACTGGGGTGTACAATCGTCAATGCTGGGGACTGGACCGAAATCACGCCGGGTCTTGGGCATCGCCGGAGATTGGCCAGCATGAGCGATATATGCCAGAATACCACAAAACGCATGCCAACCATATCTTCATCGGCGAACATACCTCCATCAATCACGCTTGGATCTTCTCCGCCCTTGAATCAGCTGTTCGCGGCGTGGTGCAGCTGTTGCTGGACGATGGCCTGGTCGATGAGGCACAGGAGGTGAGCTTGCATCAATACGCCCATGCGCTATGCTGATCGCGTAGATCGTCAATACCTGGATGGCCCGCTGGATTTCGGTTTAGAAGCGATTGCGACAGTCCCCGGAAAAGCTTGCAACGTATAATAATGCATACGAAGTAGACCTGTAGAAGCATGAATTGATGCGCGCGTTCTTCATCAGAGTATTATAATGCGCATAGTGCTTATTTCCGATCTGGTTTCCAAGCTTAGATGATTCGTCGCTTGCGGAGCTCCCGGAGCCCCCTCTTCCTCTGCTCAGCCAGGGTGTGGAAGTCGTCGGCGTTGAAGGACCAGTTGTCCTGCGGGGCAACTCCGTTGGCGTAGACCTGGTCCCAGTCGTTGAGAATACCCTCGATAATCGGAGTTCCAGCAATCAGAATGTTCTTGATAGCGGGGGTGAAGCCACCTTGAGCAGCCTCGAAGCTCTCGACACTGTTGATCAGCAAGCCTCTCTTGCCTCGGGGACACTTGTGCACTCACGCTCCCATGTTAGCAGGGGCTCGGTCAAAGTCGGAAGCCGTTCGCATCAAGACGACTCGGGAGAAGTCCATAAGGCCGGCCTTGGCAGCTCGGACCATGGCCTCAAATGTGGCGTTGTCCTCTTGAGCCGTCAGGGCGTAGACTCCGGTGTTGTTGGTCCAGATCTGGGTGATGTTACCGAACGTCTCGTCTAGACATCAACATGTGACAAACGATTATGATAGCAGTAGCAGGCTCGCGTTGACTTACCAAGAAGGGATCCGGAAAAGTAGACGTCAGACGTCGCGACATCGCCGTAGAAGACTTGGGGAGGCTGGTTGGCAGGAGCGTAATCGTAGTTTGCCCTGCACCTTCAGTTTCATTCTTCTTGCAGGTTGCGATTGGCAACCAACCTGAAAGCCGCTGCAGCCTCGGTGTCGTTCAGGGTGACGCCGTCAAGGTATCCACGGACTTGATCTCTCAAGTTGGTGTTGAGCTGGCTGCTTAGTTGTGCCACTTATCGCTGATGCATATGGACTTACTTCGAAGACCTCGGTGCCGTAGATGTTTCCAGCCCGCTTACCAGGCTCGGTGGATCCCTGGAGGAAGTAACCGGTAGTCCAGTTGCTTGGGATCTGCCTGGAGTCGATCTCATACCTGCGGGTGTCAGCGTTCAGTAGGAGTCAGATCGCAGCAAACGTACGCAAGAGCAACTTGAACTGCGAAGCGAGCGAGACCGACGGATCCAGTGGTTCCCATATAGGGGTTGATGCCGGCGATTCCTGCAATGAAGCTGACCCCGATTAGCTGATGGTGAACCGAGGTTGAGGAAGGTCACTTGCAAATAAGTGCTGGTCAGGTCAAAGTCTGGACTGAGCAGAACGGCCTGTACGTGAGCACAGGACTGGGGGGGACGATCGCAAGAAAGCAGCGAGACCTACCGAGGCGGTACAAGCAGCATTGATCTCTCCCTCGCCGGTGGTAAAGTGACAGATCGAGCCATCGTCGTTACAGTTGACGGCAGGGAACAATGGCGACAAACCGGGCAAGGTGATGTTCTGGGTCAAGCCCAAAGCCGCCGGCCAAAGGGCCTCGGGCGAGAACATCCTTTGGGTCAGTGTGCTGCCGCATCGGTCTCGGCTTGGAGACACTCACGAAATGATCATGACCTTGGGTGCGATGGGGAACCATCGTTTCTGTTGCTCGACCGTCTTGGGCAGGGAGGCCGCGGAAGCAAGAGCGCCCAAGGAGGAAAGGCACAAGGCGGTCGAAGCTAGAGAGACTTTCATGGTGGTCGTGTGAGTAGGCAAATGTGGAAAACCATCCTTTGCATCATCAGCTTATATATCATCCTCATGGCCTAGCCGAGATGACCGAGAGATGGCTGAGACGACGAGTAGCGAGTTGGCCCTGTAAAAATTTGGTCCTACAGTAGTCACCTAAATGCCAAAGCGACGATAAGGGCGGCCAGGTGACGTCCGGGGCGTTAATGGTGACTGACCGAAAATAGATCGAAACATGCCCTCGATTTCTCTTAGTGCCTTTTCAACTTTTTGTCGACCCTCATCCCGGCGTCCTCCAACGAGATAAGAGCTAGAGCCAATGAGGAGGGAAGGAGGGAGCGGTAGGAGCGGTAGGAGCGGTAGGAGCACAAGAGTGTCTCAAGAGTCTGATCCATCCGCATGGGTCATGTAGCATTCACCGGCCGGCCACTCGGGGGTAATGATAAGGGCTTGCTCGCGGGCCCCGGACGATCGGGTGTACAGGATGAGGAATATAGAGAGAGCTCAATCTTGTATTAAGAACACCAACAACGCTAATTATGCACGATCTACAACGATGCCTTTCCTCTCGACTCGTACGGCAATATAAGCACCAGCAATCCAGCCGCGATGAACAGCGCCCCGCTCGTATACACCGGCGCGGACGTCTGCAGATTGGCCGCGATGGCAATGATGGGAGCTGCTTATCAGTCACCAGGCCTAGCGACAACCGCTGAACTCACCCATGATACCAAAGATCCGATTGGCCGAGGCGGTCAATGCATTGCCTGTGCCCCGATCCTTGGTTGGGAAGACCTCGGGGGTGTAGGCGTACAAGACGGCGTACATGAATGTCGAGAAGAAGTTGAAGCCACAGTTGAATCCAAGCAAGGCGTTGCTGGTCTTCGCTGTCGTGCTGGCGAGGATGAACACGCCGGTGAGGATCGTCGAGAGACACAGAGCGCCTTTGCGTCCGACATATCGCAACTCGACAAAGACACCACCGAGAATTGAGCCAGGGATGCCGAGGACGGCGATGATGAGGCTGTTCCGGTATGTAATGTACGTCGAGGAGTCTCCGAACTCGGCGCCTTTCGCCTGCAACGTGTATGGGATGAAGGCATTCTACTGTAAGCAAAGAACAAATAGGGGTTTTATACGAATAGTGTCAGACACGGATCGTGCAGACCGAGGGCACAGCATTACTCACATAAAGTGGAAAGGCGAGTCCGATGAAAGCCCAGACCAGCATGATAGCTCCGGTACTGAATGCCAGCCTCTTGGTCGCAAATAAAGCCTTGACGTGCTTCGAACTGATCTTCTCGAGGTTCCTCTTGATAGCCGCAGTGTGATCCACGGCCTGAACCTGGCCGCTCCCTAGCGACTCGCAGGCCTTGAGGTCCTCGATTGTGAGATTCGAGTCTGTCCCATTCCGCCTGGCGAGCTCGTGCACGATCCTCACGGCGTCTTCGTCTCGACCTTTTCCCATGAAGTACTTTGGCGATTCGTAGATGTGGAAGATGAAGAAGCGGATTATGAACCCGATAAGAGCGATCCCACCGGCCGTGATCACAAGGTACCTCCATCCCATGTTCTCGCTCCTGCGACAGACTGTTGCGCTCTCCTCGCAAGTGAGGTTCCCGAGCAGGGGCCACGCGATCAGGGTGATGATGGTTTGGGCCAGCGCCCAGAAGATGGACAGGATCGTGAGCAGATACTGGTGGGATCGGGGTAGGAACTCGAGGAAGATGGCCGAGTCGACCGGAAGGTTCCCGCCGACACCGAAACTCCACAGCGCCGCAAAGACACCTATCGCAGCAAAGGAAGGGGAGCTGGCGCTGATCATCCCGAAGAGCGCGGTGATTCCCAAGGTAAGATTGAAGCCCCATTTCCTGCCGAATAGGTCGCACCCGAACCCCCAGAACAGTGCTCCCGCGAGGAGTCCGATGTTTTGAGCGAGAGTGAGGAGAGGCGGTTGGGACGGCTTGAACTCGGCGGTGATGGGAGGGAGGATCAGCGAGGTCACGATCGGCCATAGGTTGTCCTGAGCCCAGCCGAATCCAATGACGACGAACAGCTGCCATTGATATCGACCCATACCGATCTCCTGGACCTAGAGGGGTTTCAGTCGCTGTGCCGTCTCGCAGCTTACCGATCTGTTCAACACCCTCGCTTTGGCCCCATAGACGGGATCGACACCGTCAATGACTGCATCGTCATCAGCTTCTGTGACTCGAGTCAGCTCGGGCTGGTTCGTGGGCACCGAGTTCTTCTCGTCTTGCTTTGGGTCGGTCATAAAGGTGATGCGGAAAGGAATGTGGGCATGACTCCCGCTCGACTGAGACTGTACATGTTATAAGTCATTCAGTCCGGCTTTCGTTATCGACATGCATCGCGCCATCGATGCTTATACACCTACACGAGTGGAGCGAGGATGGAGGGAGGATTACACGTTGGGAAAACATGCACGATGTCGAACGAGTCTAACCACTTTAAGCAGTCTTCACCAGACGGCGTAGCGAAGGATGGTTTGAATGGGTTTGTAAGGAGGTGACAGCCGTGGGGTATATAGGCATAACAGAATTGTACGTCTATCCATCACTGAAAGTTACTGTTCAACGCCTGTGGTGGAACGGTTATCATACGTCGTTGCCAACGACGTGTCGAGGGTTCGACTCCCTCCGGGCGTAACAATTGTGACTGACCATCGATTTTTTTTCGGTTTTCCTTTGTTGCCGCTCTTCTTTCGTCTTCGACACTCCCTTGTCTGTGAGGTCCGGGCCGACACTGTGACTGTGAGGCTACGTCGTGAAATGTACATGGCATTGGATCCAAGTGATGAGACGGCTTGGGGGAATGGTACAAGGACTATGCGAAACGAAACCATAACGCTACTTTTTACCCCACTTGTCAACGATACCCTTGCCCAAGCTGACCAAGTCGGGTACGACGAGATCCATCTTGCCAAAGACGGCGACACACTCGTCGTACTCATAAGTAGTGGTGTATGCGACGTTGAACCCAGCCGCCTTGGCAGCGGCACAATCCCAGGCGTGTGAAGCTGTCGGTTAGCGACATGCGGGGATGGTAGTCCATAAAGACTTACCCGCAAAGACGGACACCTCTCCAGGCTTATCGCTTCCGGCCTTTTGCCTGGCAAACTTGTACACCTCGGGCTCTGGCTTGCCCGCCTTGACCATGTCGGCCGACAAGATCCTGTCGAGGGGCATCTCGACACCGGCCTTGTCAAAGTAACCCTTGACACGCTCGACGTTGGCATCCGAGCAGCACCAGACGTCGAACCCACCCTGCCTCAAGATCTGCATCATCTCCGCCAGCCCCTCTCTTGGCTTGAGGTTGCGGTGGCCGTCTACGATGTAGTCGAGGTCTTCTTGCGTGTAGAAACCCTCGAGATCGGACTCGGGGACACCGGCCTGGTAGAGGATCCGGGTGAACGTGTGGGACATGATCTCAAGGAACGGCTTGTACTGCTTGATTTGGGAGAGGTACGAATAGTCTCGCTCGGTGCTGGTGATCCATGAATAGAACAGCAGTTTGCTCGGGATGCCATACTTGGCGAGCTTGTCGCCTAGGCGCGCATGAAGGGCGTGCGCCCCGTTGTCTGGGGTTAGCATACACGTCTGGAGAGGCCCGGGCCGTAGCGATGGCCATGAGCCGACCACTCACCATACGAGAAGCAAGTACCGACGACGTCGACTGTCCAGTGAGTCAACGCTTCACTCAGCCCTTCATGGCTACTCACAAACAACAGAAGGCATGATGGGCGAGCTGGCAATGGTTGTGAAAGTGAAAGAACAAGGAAGAGACAATGACTATGCATTCGAGACCTCCCCGTCCTGATCTATAAACAGCCCGCGAGGCCCAGCTGCGATAGCGTCCGGGAAAGACTCACGAGAGGAAGTGGTAACACGTCGCGGGGTTAGGTACCGTCGGTTATCTGCCTATCGTATCGTCAATCTCGGCACGAATAGACCGGACCCTACCGCGCGGTACCATTGGTCGTTGGCCTCTCCTCCACCTCCCCTCCTATGCATGCGCTATCGTCGGCAAGGGCACCGAGCTACCACGAGGGTACTCTTTTGTGCTAGGAATTGCATCTTTTGTTGCAGACAGAGCGGTGTGCAAGCGCGATAGTGAAAGGAGATAAAGACCGTCGACCAACCTCACCTCGTCCCAACACGTTTACCTTTCACACCATGGTCTTGCCCATCACCAACCCCACCAAGTCGTTCTGGATCGAGGCTGCAGAGTCTCCCTTGAAAGAACACCGCACCACCCCTGATCTCCCGACAGAAGCCGATGTGGTCATCATCGGGAGCGGGTACACCGGTGCTTCGGCAGCGTACTGGCTGAATAAGGTGAGTCTGAGTCACCGGCGGCAACTGCGTTGGTCCTCACACGTCAGTTTGCGGGAGACAAGCGACCGAACATTGTCCTTCTTGAGGCGAGAGATCTGTGCGGTGGAGCTACCGGCCGCAATGGTGCGTATCGACGATGAGCAATCGTACGAACCCCTGACCTCTAGGTGGTCAGCTCCGGCCTCACTTGTTCTCGCGCTACACCCCTTGGTCGGAGCGATTCGGGCCCAAGGTCGCGATGGACTTGATAGAGCATGAGAACGCCCACCTCGATGCGTTCAAGCGGCTGCTCGAGGGGGAAGGCATCGCCAAAAAGGTCTGCTTCAAGCTCGGCGAGACGTTTGACGCGGCCATGACGGATGAAGCGGAGGAGCGGTTGAGGGAGAACCTCGAGAGAATGACGAGGGACCATGGACCGGACCATCCCATTGTCAAGAGCTGTCGGTATATCAAGGGCAGGAAGGAGGCCGAGGAGTTTAGTCAAATGAAAGGTGCCCAGGCGGTGTTTGTCCACCCTACTGGACAAGTGTGAGTAGTCCTTCCCCCCCGGTATCGTCGCCTGTGTGATCGAGCTCCTCGAAACCACCTCTCCGACTCTCTAATTTGAGATCATGCTAACAAGCAGCTGGCCTTACAAGTTTGTCCACGCCTTGCTCGAGATTGTCGACAAACAAGGCAACCTCAACATCCAGACCCACACCCCTGTGACGGCCGTCTCCGCTGCCGACTCGAACGGGGATATCACCGTCACCACCGGCAGGGGCGAGATCAAGACCAAAGCGGTCTTCCACGCCACGGTCAGTCTAGCGAGCATGAGAGGTCAGAAGTGGTTACTGATCAGACAGAACCGCTGGGCGGGACATCTCCTCGACCAATTCGACAAGCTGATCGTCCCCGGACGAGCGACGATAGCCGCGATCAAGGCTCCCGAGGGGTTCATCAAACACACCGGCGCGCAGCATTGGGACTCGGTCGTCAACGTACGTGTTGATGTTTTGCGTCTCTCCCAAATGATCCTGACGATGCAGAACTACCATCTCCAACTTCCTCCCCCTTACAACCACATTGTTGTCGGTGGAGCCAAACCTTTGACGGTCCACAACCCCTCGAGCTATATCGGGAGCGACCTCGAGGACCAGCAGTTCGACGGCGTGCCGGAGTTTTACGCAGCATGGCCTGCCCTCGACATCGTCGACTGGCAAGGGGGCAACCCGGCCGAATTTGGCAGGAAGAGGGACGAAGGGGGTGTATGGTCCGGAGGTGGGTAGCCGCGGCTCCTGCTTGTGCTTTGCTCATGCTCAGTGTACGGGAACAGCATCGACGGTTTCCCCTTTGTGGGACCTGTGCCAGACCAACCGGGTCACTTCCTTGCGGCTGCATTCACAGGTCACGGTGAGCAGTCCTTCATCTCATACGATCACGACGTCCACTGAACAATAGGAATGCCTCGGATCCTCCTCTCCACCGCTGATCTCGTTCCCAGAGTTCTCGACCACCTGAAAATCCCCCACACCACACCTTCGATACTCGAGGGCGTCCCCGCCCTGCCAGAGCCTTATGTCTTGACGCAAGCACGTTTGGACGGGTTGAAAGATTTCGACGTCGCCGCCTACCTCCAGGCGGACATTGACGCGGGTCTGGCCAGTTCCACCAAGGCTTTTGTTAAGCCTCGGCCTGAAAAGTTGGGTTTGGCGGAAAAGCTCGAAACGCTCGCAATTTCTGCGACAGCTTAGAACGGTTGTGATATAATTTGTCAACATGCCTATGTATCTTGTGATATCTGAGCCAAAGCAGGCATATCGTGAAGTGGCTCCCTCTCCAGTCTGTGTTCCCGCTCGCGATTGCAATCGGGACTTGTGCTACGCGATGCAGCAGGCAGAGTTCCTCGGCAAAGTACCTGTATGTATAATCTGATAGGCTCCTTTTCCTTGTCAGATACGCCAATCCCGCAGAGCTCCACAGCACCTGCCGCCTGGATGGAAAGCACCGGATGCCCCTTCCGAGCCGTGCTCGAGGGCCAGACGCGCGCTCAAGGGCGAGGTAGTCACCCCCCGCTCTTGTCCGACGAGCGAAACTCGCCCCGAAACCTCGTCCCGGCGTACTTTCCCGTCGCTTATCTCTCTGACACGCCTGCGAGTCTGCACCCCATATTCACCTCCTCTCTCGCCTTCTGCCTTCCTCCCATTCGCCCGAGAAAGAGCACCCGAGCGGTTGCGGTCGCCATGCATAGTGCGTCTCGGGCTTGTCCGTCGTGCCTACGATACACGCAGCCGAAGCGAGTCGTGTAAAGAATAGCACACTATCTCTGTTGTCCTAATCTGCTCTTGGATGGTATCGTCGGAGTAGTACCTCCCCTGCCTCATATACCCCCCAGCACCCTGCTTCTGCATCGATATCATCGCCGTTCACCCCCCATCATTCCGGTATACAATGCCCGCAGCCACTAGAACGCGCATTCCCATCGATTATGCCTCGTACTTCAGCTTGGAGAGCAAGTACCGCGAGCGCTCCAGACTGAAGGAGATCAAGCCATTCTCTGAGATACCAGGGATGATCAATGTGAGTCGTTCGTCATCTCAAAAGTTGCACAGCTGAGCAGCAGTTCGGCGTAGGCATACCTCACCCTTCTACTTTCCCCGTCGACGGCATGACCCTTTCCTTACCGTTCGTCGGGAAATCCGTCTTTGTGCCTGGCTACGGTACTCGCACTCCAGAGGAGCTACAAGAGCTCGCGCCGTACACACCGACATCCAAGACTGAGGCGCTCAACCCGGACCTCGCAGAAGAGCTGCAGTACAGCGCGACGTATGGCCAGAAACACTTCCTCAGCTGGATCAAAGAACACGTCCGCCGGGTTCATGCCCCCTTGTACGACGATTGGGAGGTGTGTTGTACCGCTGGAAATACCGATGGTGTGGACGGAGTCATGCGAGCTCTGCTAGACCGAGGAGACCATCTGTTGGTCGAGGAGTTTGGTAAGTAATTCACCTGTATGACCGACTGGTACAACACTTTCAGTCTCGATCGTCGCTCACTGTCCAGCTTATCCGGGCTTGCTGAGCCCCGCCGTGTCGCTTGGGCTCAAGTCTGTGGGTGTGCCGATGGACGATAAAGGTATCGTTGCCGATGAGCTTGATCGGATCATGGATGATTGGGATGAAAACGCCCGAGGTGGTCCCCGGCCCAAGTTGCTTGTGCTTGTACCGTGAGTATCGCGCGAGCGACTGAAGCAACCCGCTGAGCTTTAGGACCTGCTCCAACCCGGCGGGAGTGACGATCCCCGTCGAGCGGAAACGGGAGATTTACGATGT